GCTCCTTTGAATACGTGTTCGGGGCTGAGCTGCTTGAAAGAGAATTGCTGACAAACCAAGCTTTTGTTAGCAAAAATGTCTGCTGGGGCGGGAAGGTGAGAAGTTGTTAATTTAAAATAAGTTCTTTAAGAATCCTAACTGTGAATCTATAGAACAAATCTAGCTGAAAATGCAGAAAACTCACGCTTACCTCAATGACTGTGGGGCTGGAAGTTTTGAAGGGAATGTGGTTTAGTTATGCAGAAGTGTAGGGATAGGAGAGGCACGAGTTCATCTTCTGTAAGTATTTATAAGACATTGAAAGTCCCAAATAAGATTTTGAGTCTGTTGTGTGAACACGTGCACATATAATTTGGAGAAACATTTTGCTCCACCGTCGGTACATTAATCTTCCTAACAAGCAATTTCTTCAGCCCGTTGCATTCTTGTTGCTATTTGTAGGAGACAGGGGAGAGTGCAAAAGTAGGAAACAAGTCCACATTGTCTCTTTTCTCCATTAAGCAGACTTCTTCCGCAGCGCAGTCCTTGTGGGAAACAGTTGGCCAAGTTGGTTTGAAGCTTAGTTGTGTCTGGTTAATGGCACTGAGGAGTGCTTCTGCATCTTTTATGTGTTTGCATACACAGTTAAAGCAGTGTCTGTTAGCTACCCAGTGCATTTAGCAGCTCTTCAAGAGCTCTGACTGGTCTGGTTGGACCAGCAATCACAAAACTATTCCATTTGCAAACTGTAGAAGTGTAGGTTATGTTCATACACAAGTGCTCCGATTCATACTGGAGAGGCAGAGATGTTTCAAGTGTGCATCTGTGCTCTTCATGCGGATGATGCTTCAGCTTTTCCTTCAGGGAAAGTTGCAGCTGAGAGTAGGAACATCTGAATTTAAGCTTTGGTGTATGTGAGTTAGCAGCAGGTGAGTGGTCTTGCGAAGAGGATTAAAGGAAAAAAAAGGTAAGTTATTTGTGTTCATCTTGCCTGTACCAAGTCCTTTTGGAACAGGCTCTCTAAAAAAATTATCAGGAGAGGAAGACCTTTAGCCACTTGCCTGTGATTTCACTGGAGCCCACTGATGAGGGATGCACAACATCTGGAGGCTGAGGCTGCAGGCTCCTGCAGGCTCCTGCTCACCTCTTTGTTAACAAGGGGGGCTGGCAGAGATGGGTCATGCAATTGCACTGCAGAGTTGTATGATTAAGTGCCAATGTGTGCCCATCCAAGAAGCTGTGCCCTTACTGTGGATCTAACAACTACCCATCTGGGCTGACTTTCATCCAATGACGCCCACCGATGTTTTCTTGCACAGAGCTGCAGCCCTTACTTCCTATCACACTGAAGCAGCTCTGACAGTTTTCAGGGCTTCAGTTGTTCAGCTGAGTTACCTCAAGCTTCAGGAAACTTCCAGAGCAATTCTGATTCTCTGACTGCTCTTGCATGAATACCAGCAGCCAGCCAGGCTTGCCTTCCCCTCCCTCCCCTGTACAAATTGCCTCCCCAGGGCCATCCAAACACAGGGCTCATCTAGGAGGAAAGGAAATCAGAGTGCTTCAAACCCAGCTGTCACCAGGTGAATAACTCCTTTGAATGATGAATGTAGCAGGTATCTCATCTACTCAGGAAGGTCCCAGATTTGATTTTGTTTTTCTTTCCCTTCAAGAATGTGCTGTAGCAATTTCTTCTTTTGGTGCAATCAGTGAAAATCCCATCAGATCCCAAGGGTGAGTGCTTTGAAGTTGCTTGGGGTGTGTGAGTCACATTCTGCTGGCTCCTGGTGATGGGATGCCAGGTTCAGGTCAGAGGGGCTTCTGTCTGGGCCACCTTTGCTCTCACTACAAATTCATTTTGCATAGTGCCTATCTCTGTGTAGATCCACATCCAATCTGTAGGAAGGAAGGGATTGGTGGTGGACTTGAGCCCTTCCCAACATTGAGGAACTGTCTGTCAGACTTCTCATAGTAATGTCAGGGCACCTGAGGGAAAGACAGCATGAAAGAAGGGCTGTTCTCAGCACAAGACAAGACTTCAGCCCTGGAGCATCTGTGGACCTGCACTCCGTGTTCATCTCGGTGCAAATCCTGAGGTGCACCTGGATTTGTCAATTAATCTTTTTTAAATTTGTGCATAACTCCAATTGTATAGTTCTGACAATCCCCAGAGCTGTGCTCTTTTCTATTCATTTAACAGGACCAAAAATCTTCAGCAGTCTCTTGTCAGTTCTGTGGCCGTCCCTGGCTTGTTGAAATGCTGTGTTATCTCATGGCAGGGGACCCATGCGCGCTGCATCACATCTCTGCCCATCACCCCTCATCTGCCCTGATGTGCATGGGAGAAGTTGCCACATTTCATCAGGGTGCAGTAATGCTTGCCGGATGGAAAAATGCTGCTGTTTGCTGGGCAGTAAAACCTTCGCTGGATTTTTATCGTGTTTGTTCTTTATTTTTGTTTTCCCCTTCAATCTTCTTTTAGCAAAGGCAGCTGGCACCTACAGCTCCTGCTGCAAGAAGGGCTGCAGCTGCTCACCATCCACAGCAGGACCCAGCGGGGCGCGTGTGTAGCAGAGTCATTTCAAAATTTGGTTACTCCAGGGCACAAGCATTCAGTCGTGGTGGGTCTTCCACATCCCCCTGTGTCTGCTTTGGGATCTTTGGGCTCGTGCAGTAAATTAGAGAGGGATCAAAGGCCAGCCTTCCAGCCATCCTGCCATGCATGGTTACAGAGTGATCAAGCAGGACATGCAGTCAAAGCCAACAGTGGGAGCCTGTTTGTTCACGCCTGGATACTCACAGTGGTGCCATAAGTCTGCCAGATGAGGTGGCCATGGTAGTTGTTCTTTGAAGTAACTGTTCTACCCACCCAGGCAAACAGGTTGGCTCAACGTGTGCGTAGCTGATGGGAGGTGCAAACTGACAGGGCTCACGCTGCTATCTAAGCAGCTGCATGACTTGCTTAGGTTTTTGATGCCTTGCATGTATTGCTTGTTTCGCAGGCAGCACAGAAGGAAGAGTGTTGTTCCTCAAGAGGATTAAAAAGTTCCCTTGCTGTGTTCCCAGAGAAGCAATGTTGGAATGCCTAACGCACGAGTCCCTGTTTGTTCAATGACAGATTTGGTGCTAATTTTGCCGCTGTCTGCTCCCATTTGTGTGTTGTGGTTGTGGATGAAAGCGGCAGAGCAGCGATTAGCTCAAGCCCTGCTGAAGAAACGGTGACTTCTGAAGAACTAGAGAGTGAGAGTATATTACCCTCTGGCGTTTTTATTTTATTTAGCAAGGTAAAACTGTTCATTGAACCAGAGTTCATTTACAGTGGTACCCCAGCAGACTGCAGCCACAGGATGAATTACCAATCGCTCGCAGTGCATACAGGAATCATTCAGGCCCCAGCCCATCTGTACCCAGGATTTCACTCTTTGGCACCGTTCAGTGGATTGGTACCCGTGCCTCTCCCCCAAAATCTTATTAAGCATAACAGAGGGATCCGCTCCCTGTTCTGGTCACCAGATCACACTAAGATCTGCATCCTTTCTGCTGTTTTTGGATTGTAGTTGTTAACCAGAAGCTCACAGGATTAGACTCTGCTAGCTTCCAAATTAATGGAAGGTGGAGTATATGGAGTATATTTTCTTTGAGGATGTATTTTCTTCTTGGGAGCTTTGACATTGGATGATCATTGCTGAGATAATACCAGGAGTAGTAACTAATCCCCTAGTGGATAGAACTGGGGGTGAAAATTCTATTTCTAACAATTAGCCCAGTGGGCCACCAGGAGGCTGCTCTTACCTGATCTTACACATCAAATGGGATTTCTCTCCCTTTGCTTCGGAGCTGGTGGCTGTGCAGGCTCCCAGAGCTCCATCCATCCATTGCCCTGTGCCCCAGGCAGTGATGTGCCTGCTGCATGGTCACCTCCAGCCTGCTGAACGCCGGCAGGTTTGTTCCAGTCGCCTTCATTAAAAATGCATGCGCTAAGTGATGGGATAATTACAGCAACTTGGAGAACAGATAGCGGCAGCAAGAGAAATTGAAAGATGTTGGAGGAAAGATATCGGCTATCGTTAGACAAAACAGTTTGTGGCAGGTGGTTTGGCAGTATATAGTGCTGTTGCATATAGTGCTGCTGGATGGCTGGAAAAGGGCATGCAGGACACCAGGTGGGGAGGTGTTACTTCCAGTGCTGCTGCCATCGCTATAGTGCTCAGGTTTTTTTTTATGTTTCTAGGCACCGTGTCGTTCATTTGGGATCTCCCTGCCCTAACTGATTCTGGTTGTGAGGGTGTGTTTGCACTGCGGGTCACATCAGGCATTCAGGCAGCAGGGCAGAGATCCTCCTGTCCGTGGCTGGCACACCGTGTATGCCTGAGGTTACCTGGTGGTGTGGCAGGTGTTAATTTGCAGACAACCAGGATATCTCCAAAGAAAACTCCTTTGGCTCACAGGACGTAAGCAGGTGCTGTCTTTCTGAATCACGGCAAAGCTGAAGCCCTCTTTTCCTTTCCTTCCAAATGTGGTCTATTTGCTGTTGCTTTCTGACAGCAGGGAAAAGAGTAGCTTTGTCTTACCCTCTTTGTTCTGTTGGTTGGAAACCCCTTGGCTGAGCTGGAGAGCTTTTGTCACATTGATGAGTTGGTTTAGTTAGGTAGGGCACCAGAGACCTTTGTCCATATGCTGCCAAAAGATGAAATGATTGTTATTATTTGCCCACTTCACAAGGGGGCTGTGAGGATTAATTCATGTTTGTAAATTGCTTTTGAGATTTAAAGCTGCGTACGAGCACTAGGGATTATTGCTTTCTCACTCTTTAAGGTAATGTAACTTTTATGAAGACTTCTAGCCTCGAAAATATCCTGGAAGTGGGAAGAGTTAAGTTCCTTTTGCAATTAGATATACTTACAGTGTTTAAGGTAAAAAGCAACTACTTCACAGCTGTTTCTTCAAAAAAAAAAAAAAAAAGAAAAAGAAAAAAATGGAAAAGCAATGGCAAATAGTGACAGTGCCTTCTCTTTTTTTTCCAGGAGTCCAACGTGCTAATTGCTGCTAACAGTCAGGGTACAATTAAGGTAAGTTATTTTGTGCATCATCTCTTTAAGCGCTCAAATCCATTGTCAGTAAAGAGTGAGGCCACAGGCATGGTACAGCCAGGAGTAGGCATCAGAGGAGGTCATCCCAGCTGTGGAAGTATGCATTTTAAATGATGTATTTGCCTCTGGCATGTGGGGGAGTGAGCATACAGCACAGGTAGGAGCAGGGTGCAGAAAGCTGCTGGTGCTGCCCTGCACCCACTGCCCCTTAGCTCTAAACAGTGCAGAAGGGAAAGCGGCCTGCATCGGGAGAGCTGGATGCTCTGCAGTGATGTGCTGCTTAAATTAAACACAGGCCTGGCACTGGGTGTTATGTATGCAATATTTTTCCTGACTGATAATAGGTGCCACGTCTCAGTTGCCACAGCAGCCGTTTGCGTTTCCACATTGGTTCGAAAGCAGCTGCATGGCGTTGCTTTGAACGGAGAGGTTTTAAATTAGTGCTGTCTGGCACAAACATCTCCACGCGCTCGTGTTGATTTTTGTGACAGCAGAGGAGGCTCTGCATTTGCTCGCTGGCATTAGCCAGACCCCATCTTCTGGCTGGTGCAGCAGAGCTGAAAGCTGAGCTCCTGATGTGCAGCCAGCTAGAGCAGTGCTTGAAATGAGCAGGGCTGCTCCATCGCGTTGCTTACTCTGAGCATGTGGACTGACTTTAACAGACAGCAGCTGCCAACATAGAGTTTTACGAAAGCAACAGCCTTCCCTGTGCACAGAGAGGCTAATGTTTTGCCAGGTATTCAGTGCTTGAATAAAAGTCTTTCCAGAATATCTGTTAGACGTATTTCTGTCCACACAATGTCAAATAACGTTTGTCCCACTTTGTGTCTCTATCAAGCACACAGCCGAGCAGAAATATTGCCCAAACCCAGGTGCTGCTCCTCTGGAGAGCCCCAGGTCCAGCATTGTCCTGGTTTGAACCCAGCAGCATTCACCTCCACTGTGCTTTTGAGGTCTTGGTGTTCATGCTGCAGGCTCGTAGCCCAGAGCTCTGACGCTTTCCGTGTCTGCTGATAAAGGAATTTACTTGCTGTCTGCAGAGTTCCATGCTGTGTTGTCACCCTTGTGAATCTGAGCTTCCTCCTCCCAGTTCTTCCTCGTGCCATCGTGTGACAGCAGTTTTCTGGAGCCAGATCAGATCCGATGGTCTGAAGGAACCTGGAAAAATCACTGAAAAAGCAGAAATTAGTCCCAAGTCATCTGTGTTTCTGTGACTAGGTTTCTGTTTTTCCTCCTTTTTAGGCCACGATTGGCCTGGTTACTCCTGTTACTGCAGTTTGTGATGCTGTAGCCTTTCATTTGTAGGTGATTTATTTGGCAGACTTTGGAATTGGTTGCTCATTACTTTGGTCACTTCCTTCCTACTTAAATGAGCAAAGCACACAGGTGCTTCTGATACCTTTAAGTGAATCCAGCACCAACAGGAGTGGTTTTGCTCATGCACTTTGCTTGTTAATGAGAGAAGGTGGAGAAATGTGTAAACAGCCAAGGTTATTTGGATTCTAGTATTTCTATTTGAGCTTGTTATCAGATAGTGGGGAAGGTGCGACAGTCTGGCAGTGCCCAGGAAAGGGCAGGATTTGCAGTTATGCTGTGGGCCTATCCCTCTCCACCATGGCAGTCCATGCCCATGGGCTTACAGCCCTCAGCTGTCCCCAGAAAAACCACCCTGGGTTGTTACAAGCTGTACAAATCGCTCAGCAGGTGACAGCCCTCATAGTGCTCATCTCGTTTGTTTGATATTATTGCATGCTGGTGAATAAAGGGTAAGAGGTGGAGACAAGAAGGGTCAGACCTGTCCTAGTGATCTATATGCTGATGTAGGAGATAATGAACATCATAAATTCCTATTCTGCACGCCTTTTCTTCCCTATTAATCAGGTACTGGAGCTGGTATGAAGGCTTTTCTCAAGGCTTGAGGTACTTGGTCCTGCTGATATGCTGCAGTGTTCATCTGGGATCTTCAGTAGGACAAGAAACCGAAACCACCTTGATATTCCTCCCCAAAACCACCATGTTTGTTTGTTTGTTTGTTTTCCCATATATGGACTTTCAAGGATATTTTTGAGATGCTGGGAACACCGGTGAACTGTCTGCCATCAACATTAACTCCACAGACTTTGCTGCTGCTGGTGGTGGTATGGTTGTCTAATTTTTATGATAGGAAAACAAATTCTTTTAAATAAAAACAAAAAGGAATAATAAAATTTATTGAGCCACAAGCTGAAGCGGGAAGATTCTCTCTTGTTGCATATGGGAACAGATTTACTGGGGAAGGGAACTTACTGGACCACACAGGGCTGTCCTCAGTTGCATATCTCCACTCATCTTTATCTGGACTATTCCTTCATCCATGTTGGCATAAAGTCTCTAAGCCTTACCTGGACGTGCAAGCAATTCGCTTTCAGATATGGTTGAGTTGTTCCTTTGATTTTATTTTTTAGATGCATTAAATGTTGAGAAATGTCACCCAGGTTGACATCACTGGAGACTAAAGTCCTTTGGTTACTCAGAAGAGAAGGGCAGCTTCCCCTTCTTCCCTTTATGCCCCTGCTCTGGCCCTAAGGGGCTGCTCCAAAGGAGAGGAGTAAGTCAGCCTTTCACCCACGTGAGCCCGGTCCTCTGCTGCCTGCCACTGACTGTGCAGAAATGATGTGAGCTGCAGCTGCCTGGGACCTGGACTGCCCTCACTGAGACATCGTGGAGAGGTGCCCTCATTGACACTGAGCTGCCTCTCTGACTACATCAGCTAGAGGAGAAAGCATCTTGATCCAGTTACCAAAGCCCTGCACCACTCATCTCCCGTGTGGTCTGCTGATGTTTGCCCCTCTGCAAACCAACAATGGAAGCTGAGCGTTGTGAATGCTGTAATAAGAGAGGGGATAGAGTTGGTTTGTAACGTGTTTCAGAGCCATGATATAAGTAGCCTTATTTTTAATGGTTGTGCATACACTTAATTGTACATATGGAGGGGGAATAAACCATGATGCTAAGAGCTGTCGTTGCTTTGTTGTCAGAAGAGCAGGGGGAGGAAGAAGGTGCAGATGATCCCCAGGAGCAGCAGTCACACGGAGTTGCCAGCACTTGTTAAGCCTGGAAGTGGAATGGGTGGGTGTAGCAGCTTTTTCTCGTTGCATGTGGTGAAGGTGCAATGCACACAGTGATACCTGTAGGCAGCATTTCAATTCACAAGCAGAGCCCCTTTGTGTTCATTCATTCTCACTTGTGCCTCCAAGGCTTGGGGTTGCTGCATGGGGTTTTGTGTGCTGTGCGTGAGCACAGCAAGGTCTTGCTGCAGGCTTGGGCCGCTGTGTATGAAAGGCGGTAAATGCCTGGAACTGATGTTTTGCATAGTTCTGCATCAGAGCTGAGGACAGATCCTGTCCTGACCCAATGCTCGTGCTTGTTTCCAGTGAGCTGCAGCGGGCTGTAGCTCTCAGCTGGAAGGAAGTGGGATGCGAATCCTTGCTGGCTTCTGGAAAACTGTGTCCAGCTGGGAGGAAGCTGGGGGCGCTCAGCTCCAAGAGCTACATAGGCAGCACCCGGTGTGTGCTGGGTTTCTTTGGGATTGCTGACTTGCTGGGATAGTGAGAGCAAGGAGAGCAGGGAAAGAGAACAGAGCATGAGATCATACTGCATTGCTGCGGGGCTGCAGGTCTCAGCCATGTGAGTCACCAGGGTCGCTGTGGTCGAAGGAATCAAGATGGGTTCCTTCGGCCTCCTGCCAAGCAGTCCGTCTCCATTTTCACTGCGTTTTAGGATGGGTGCTTGTGCCTGAGATCTGCCACCCTCCCTGCCTTTGATGCTGGGTTTCCCTCAGCCTGTCTCATTTATTGGTGCCTATTGATTTGTTTTGATTTGAGCTGCTGCTGTTGTGTCTGGTGTTGTGACAGGACCCCTCGGGCACGTTTCTTGTCCCCCTGCTCCATGCCACGAGCAGCCACTTGGCAGCCGCCTTCATTCCTCCTCTGCTCCCTACTTGAATGTCCTCTGGACTTTAAATTGAAATGGCTCTGATGAGGATGAGATGTTGAAAACAGAAGGGAAAAAAAAAAACAGCTATTTTGAATGCCGTAAGGTTACTCCATGAATTAAGCAGTGAAAACAGTTTAACATTAGCCTCCTTTATTTTCTAGGTTTTCATTCCGCTTCAATCAAGATAAAATGCAAATTCGGAGTCTGGCCCTAATTAGAAACACAGCAGCTCATAAACACGGGTTGATGGCATTTTTTGTCTTTGTCTTTTTGTCACAAGTGATATGCTCCTTATTTTAATCCCCTTAATTTTCTTTCCTTCAGGTAACTCTCAGTATTGACGTGTATTAAGTTGCATATAATTACTATAATCTTTTAATGGCGTTTGGTTGAATTTCTTTTGAATTAGTTGTCTTCCCATGTCCTCTGTACGAGCAGCTCGCTATCGAAAAGCCACTGGTTTGCTGTGTGTGGTGTTTGCCAGGAGAAGTGAGGATCCTGCAGATGACCCACGTGGAAGGAGCAGGTCCAAATAGCAGAGGCTGTGGAAGAGGCTGTGGTTTTCCCTGTCCAAACAACTCTTGCACAGACCTGCAGAAGCTCTCATCTACTGTTTTGAGAAGAAGCCATCCCCAGGCAGGTTGGTTAATGGCTGGTGAGTTCCCACTTCACACGCTTGGTGTACTGATACCTTGCTATGTTCCTTCAGCAACGTGCTCCTTTCCATCCTGGGCTCATGGCCCCAGTGAGGTTTTCAGCATTTTTTAGTGTCAGGGAGTAATCAAATTCAGGAGGTGCCTCTGGAAGTCTCTGCTCCACCCCCTGCTCAGAGCTTCAAAGCTGGTTAGGGTTGCTCCAGGGCTTGGAGATGCTCAAAAGCTCAACCGAGCAAGGACAGAGATTCTTAAGCCTCTCTGGGAAACTTGTTCCAGTGCTTAACTCTCATTGTGAAAATTAATTGCAGATGGTAGGTGTGTGCAGTCCTTACAGTTTCTTGCATTGGAAGACCAAAGTGACAAAGCCTGTGGCTGGTAGCTGCCCCACAGCAGCTTTTGCCTCCAGTGCTTGTGTCCCTGGGAGAGCTGTTGGGTGAGGAAGGGTTTTTCTGCAAGAAAGGGGATTTGAAATGCTACACAGCAAGCCAACCTTTTTAATTAATCTTCAAGCATTTAATAGGAGAGTGGGAGGAACATGCTTCAGTGCTAAAAAGAAGTTCATTGCTGGAGGGAATCGAAAGTGATGGTCAAGGGGAAATTTAAATTAATATCAATATGTCAGGGCTCTTCAGCAGCAAGTGCAGGCAGGCTGCTAATGCCAGCGTTCAACTCGCATGCTGGATCCTTGTTTGTTTAATTTGGTCTAACTCCAGAAGGTTGCAAAGACACCAGCGGATAATTGGAAAAGCAAAGCCAATCCTTCCTTGCTCGGAAGTCGTCTTTCCTTTCTCCTTGTTGGAGGAGGCCAGAGGGCAGCCAAACCCTGACATTTGGCTGGAAGAAAGCACCCTGCTAGCCCATTGCCTGCTATGACATGGGGAGACAAGGAGCTGAAGCCCCCAGGAAGCTGTGGTGCGGCAGGATTTGTGACACAAAGACCAGAGCCCATCCCCACAGCTTGCTGGTGACCATCACTTTGCTTTAGTTCTGCTTTGAGAATGGGTTCTGGTGTTGGGAGTCTTCCCAACCTGCTCTCAGCTCAACAAGGCAATGCTGGGGTATTTGTTCTGTGTCTTCACTCTTTGTTAATGAAATGAGATTGCTTTGGGTTAAAGCAAGTCTGCCTTCCCTGCTCCCCACTGACAGGCCATTTGAGTTGAGTCAGCTTCACCAAAAACAGTGGTTTTAAATCTTAGCTTAGCTCCAAAAACAGGAATTTTTTACGTTCCTACTTTAAGTTTCACCCCCTTAAACCTGGGTCTGGATGATGACTCACCATTGCTACGCAGCAGAGGCAGAATAAGAACTCGTCCTATAAAATTGAGCAGTGGGAAAAAGCCTTTGGGGCAGGGCGTGCAGTGACTTCTTGAGGACTTGCACAAGTAGCTGTGGGGCACGAGCACCTCCAGCCCCAGCGTTCTCCTTGAAATCCCTCCATGCTCCTACCATGGGGCTGGGGGCTGCTGGCAGCTCCAGCTGGGCAGCACTGCCACCTCATCTCTAAAATCCTCTCAGGCAGCCAAGGAACATAATTTGGAGACGTTCAAATTAAAGGAACATACAGGCCATCCTTAGGAGGCATGAGTAATAGCATGTGACAGCTAAAATCAAGTCAGTGGTGCAAGCCGAACACGAATCCCAAACTGCTCATGCAGCCTGGGGGCCTTGGGTAGAGTTTCATTCCTGTTTGCTGCACCTGGGATGATTTTTGTGGGGATTGCTGCAGTAGCAATGCGGTTTGCAAAATGTGAGCTAGCAGCTTGCACACAGCTCTGCCTGCTCGTGCATTCCTCTGACCCTGTGCTTTGCTAACAGACCCTCCAAGGGACAGCATACAGGATCCAGGTGTGCAGGGAAAGAGCAAGTTCAGTGTTCCCCTGGGCCAAAAGACACCATTGGGCTCATTTCAGCCAAGTGTTACAGCAGGCCTCCTGTTCCTCTAGCAGGAGCCTCACTGTGGGTAAACAAGCTTTGAGGGTTGTTTTTTTTACAGAATTGCCCCTCCTTTATTTCTTACAGGGACCACTCTTCCCCATTGGATTGTTTTTGTGCACTTGAGCAGCAAGGAGGGGAGTGAAGGCTGTAGGTGTGAACCCAAGAAATGTGCACATTGGGCAGGGAGAAACTCATTTGTCCTCACTGAAACAAACAGCACTCTGAATTCCAGATACTCCTAAAAACATACAGATGTTGCATGTATATTTTTAATCCCAAAAGTTGCCTTCAACCTGGTATCTGTCTTTGCTGGCAATGAAGACCAAATGCCATTCAAGACAACCTGAAAATGTGAGTGTCTGCAAATAACATCCCACTGAAGCCAGAATTCAGCTCCTTTGTCTTGTGCTCAGGCCCGCACCAACGCAGCATCTCTCAGTGCTTCCCTGAGCCATGCAGCCTTCCGTGGGTCTCTGGGGTGGACGTACCCTCTTCAGTCAAGTCTTCATGCCCCCCTCTTTTCCAACCCTTGCCTCCCACACCCTATGCATGACAACCCTGTGACTTATTTATATTAAGTCACAAACCCAGCATCTCCTCCTGATCCCGTGCTGACTGCCAAACATCCCGAAGCCACTATTGATCTGCAGGGGCAGAGGGGTGACGAGGAGGGGCAACCCCTCAAAGTCATGGCAGCATCACGCTCCAGCTGCCGCCTAAGTTGAGCCAAAGCCCAGCAGACCGCAAGGCTGTAGCCCTGGGCACAGCCCTGGCAAGGGCAAGCAGGGGCCACAGGGCTCAAAAATTGTTCAGGAGCAACGTACACACCACCACGATGCTTGTGAGCCATGGATGCTTCTCACCTCTTTTCCCTCCCATTCGTTTTCTCCTTTTCTTTTTTTT